CTAGATGAATTCCAGGTAACCTCAGAGCTTACTAACGGCAAAATACCTCTGCCTAAAGTGATCAGGTCTAGCCCCTCCCAAAGAGCAAAGAGCCCTGATTCCTTTCACTGCGCCTCCAGCCAGTCCCTGCCTACAGAAAATTATCGAGTCACTTAACCTCAGTGTTTTCATATGCAATAAAGTAAGGTTGACCCACCTGGCAGGAGTATTGATGATCGATGATTATTAGATGATTGAAACGCGCTTTGCGGCTGTGCAGTGCTGGACACATGCTGCCAGCGCCTTCTCAGTGTGCTGTGGACATCGTGAGGGAAACTGGCTGTAAGCCTCTGAGAACTATGAATCCATAAGTCAACTGGTTACTGTCTTAAACTAAGTAACAATGTGATAGTGGCTAATGTGCTGTTCTTTTTAAAAAGCTTACAACATACTGTTGTTTAATAAAAGACTTGGGCTGAATTTCCCTCCTGGGAGACCAAGAGCATTGGCTCAAGTGGCTGACCAGGCTGGAGAGGGTTGGCAGCTGCTGAGGAATTGATCCATGGTAGGAGGAGGAAAATCGGGCAGGCTCTGCTTCCCACCTCCCTCTCTGCCCCTTGAAGGCCAGGTGGGCCCAGGCTCTCCTTAAGCCAGGTAAGCCGGGCTTCAGGAAACTTATTACTTTGGCAAAGGAGCAAAGGCACGGGGCAATATTTCAAGGGTGAAGAAGGGCACACCAGGGAGAGGCATCCTCCCTCTCACCTGGTTTCATGAGTGTGGCTTTTAACACAGGTAATGCAAGTGTCTGTCTTTCTGAACATAGGAGAGTCCTGCCCTGGGCACAGTGACAGGTCTACCATGCTCATACAGCAGTCAGCATGCCAACATGACCTAAGGTGAGGGGCCAGCAAGGTCAGCCGGGAGAAGGTGAACACAGGAAGGGCACAGCCACGACCCCAGGACTCGGGTGAGCATGAAGTGAGGCAGCAGAGACCGGGGGTGGTCAGCACAGGTGAGAGGGAAGAGCAGGAATGCCACAGACACCAGGGCCAAGCTCACTTCCAGGAGGGAGTCAGGGGTTAGCCACATTGGAATGTCAGCTGTGATCAGGCCTGGGGGCTGGCCTCTGAATTAGGATGACCCAGTGGTGTGTGGGCATGAGCAGCACAATTTGAGGGCCTGGAAGAGTGGTCCACTGGCATGTGGGGCAGAGAGAGGGGAGGAAGATGGATGGGCATAGGCTGGAGGGCTTCCAGAGTTCTGAGACCCCGCAGCATGCTGTGAACTGCCGATGTGACCCACGTAGCAGCATGGAGGAGGCGCAGGGCAGCCACCAGATGCTGGACCTGTCCACTTAGTGCTATGAACACTGCCAGAATCCAAATGGAGTCACTGGTATTAAAAACCCTGACACACAGACGGTGGAAGGCCAAGAAGGGAGGGTTCTTGTACACATGCCTGATAGCAAGAACGATCACAAGAGACAGCAGAAATCACAGCCTTGCACAAAGACTGTCACAACTCACAACGAAACACTTCTCGGAGGACATCTGCCCAGGAGCTGCCTGTCCAGCCTCAGACTGGCACCATCCTTCCTGGAGATGGTTGTAGCCAAGGATCATTGACTCACAACAATGATGTAATCCTCCTTTATCCTTTGAAAACCTTTGTTTTCCTTTACCTTCCTTGACCCACACCCAATTTACGATGGCACATATATTTGATTGCAATGAACGTTCCCGAATAAATCTCATTTTGTTTTAGAGTCTCTCTCTGTTATTTAGGTTGACAGTGGGAAAATCCCAGACTGCAAATCCTTCCTCAGCCAAGGGCAAAGGTGTCCTCCAGGGAAGGTGGCTGGTGGTCAGAGGAGGGAAGGCTGCAGTGGCGTCTTGGAGTGGTGGAGAGCACACGTGCAGAACCAAAGGGCCCAGAGCTCAGCGTAGGCGTGCCTGGGACTTGAGGGACGCCAGGGGGATGGGAATGAGCTGTTCTCTAGTTTTTCCCCTAATGCCCCTTCTCTAATTTAGGTGCAGGTTCACTGTAAGCGAGGAATCAGTCCTGGGGGGCCATCTGGGTGAGTGCAGGGGGGCAGGGAGAGGTGAGGGAGTGGGTGCACAGGAAGAGGTGTGCACGTGCATGTTCGTGCATGCAGATGGGTGTGTGGGTCTGCACGTGTGGCTGGGGGCGGGTGGCTAGTGAAGGCATGGGAGCAGCACGGGCTGCAGGTTTCCATGAGGCCCCACAGAAGTGAAACTGAAGGAGAGGAGGTGGTGGGGATTTGAGCTTGGGGTGGTCATTGGTGATGAAAAATCCGGGCTATGCCCAGAGCAGTGGATGCTGAAGTGGGAGGTCCAGGATACAGCCCTTGGGTTTGGGAGGCTCTGGTAATGGGCACGGGAAACAGGAGACAGGAGAACTGTGAGGGGCTGAACCTGTGGTGGGTGAGGGGTGCATGGGAAAGCGGAGGTGGCTGCCTGCAAGAAGGGCAGAGGTCAATGGCCAGGCATGGCAGGAGCTGGCTGGTGAGGAGAGGAGGAGGAGGGAGCAGGGAGGGCACAGGGGGTGGGGATGCCACCTTGGCAGGCTGTGAGGGGCAGCCTGTGGGGAGAGGTGAAGAAGCAATGCCCCTTCTCAGCAAGCACGTTCCGGGCACCAGTGACACCCCATATTTGGTTTCTATTAAGGGTGCCCTTGCCACGTGCTGATTCTGTTGAAAAATAAGAGACTACATACATCAGTCAGCTCTGGCTGCTGCAGTGAAACACCACAGACGGGAAGCTGCAGTGACAGCCTTCTACTTCTTATGGTTCTGGGGCTGGAAGTCCAAGATCAAGTTCCCGTAGCGCTGGTTTCTGGTGCGGGGTTTGTGGCTGGCTGGGGTGAAGTTTCCCGCGGTACTCGCACAGCCGCCTCTTATGCACATGTGAGGGTGGGGCGAGCACTGACCTCTTTCTATTAAACACCAAGCCTTTGCAGGACTTCATATTAATTATCCCCGACAGCCCAGCTCCGAATAATCACATGGGGGTTAGGGCTTCAACGCATGAATTCTGAGGGTGGCACAATTCAGTCTGCAGCGGGCACCCACTGAATAAAGTAGACATTTTGCTGGAGTCAGGCTTAGTGGCAGCTGTGAGGAGGAACCCTGGAGGTGCTGAGCCCCAGCCTGCAGCACCATCCTTCCAGCCCAGTCCCGCCAGCGGGTGTCTTCCTAAACAGAAAATGCCCCTTTGGACGCCATTGGGCACTGCTTTGGCGGCTTGCTCAGAAGCTGGAGGCTGGCCTTGCTGGGGCCAATTGCCAGGGCCCCGGTCACCCCCACTCTGTGTCCACAAAACCCTCTGGAGTGGCTGCTCCGTCTGCACGGTGACCACGGGCCACGCGGGGCTGCTGACCGCTGGAAGCGCGGCCTGTGAGCAGCCGCGAGAGGCAGGTGCCTGTGCAAGGCCTTCCTGTGAAAGAGTGTCACGGATGAGGTCCAATGCCAGTTACATGTTGAATGATGTACCTATGGGGTCAAATCAAATGTACTGTTAAGCAGGTAATTTTGGCTGTTACTTGTTACCTACTAGGAGATTTAGGATGACAAATGTGGTTCTCCTGCCCGGCTACAGGCCGGTCCCTCCTGCGCTCAGATCGGCCCTGCTGCCCCCGGCTGTGCGCTCCCGGACCCCACCAGCCTCTCCCCGGCCGCGGCGCGCCACCAGGGTGAGCCACGCGGGCCCCGG